TGCAAATAGTAAAAGCAATACCGGCCAGATGCAAGTCCTTTTTTGTGATTCCCTCAAGCAGATACTCAATGTTTTTCCCAAAATCCATGCTGCCATCCCAAGTAGTAGAAGCTAAGGACACAGAATGGCCAATAGCCTGCATCATCATATAAGCAAGCTGAAGTTCACACCCTCTCGGGTGCATCCTTATGACAACAAGAAAAAAAATAGGGTCAGGGAGAATCCCACTGTCCAACATCCTTTTGCACAATTCATCTGCTTCAGTCAACTTGTTTTTCTTGTAAAGTGAAGCAATCAAAGTTGTATAAGAGTGCACACTAGGAGTTATATCGCAGACAAGCATCTCATTTAACAGCTTCAATGCACAGTCCACTTCCCCTTCTCTACAATAGTTGTTTACCATGATGTGGTAAGTAACCACAGTAGGCTGTATTCCAAAGTCCACCAATTTGTCTGTATATTACCCAGCCTTTATCAAATATACCCCACTTCATGAACCCATAAATTAATGTATTATAGGTATAATCATCTACCTCACAACCCATTTTCAGCATCCGAAAGAAAATCCTCGCTGCCATCTTCATTTTCCTATCCTTGCTGTACCCAAAAATTAGCCAGTTATACATTACTTTATCGACAAAAAAGCCTTGTGCTTCCATCTCTATTGATAGTTGCTCCGCCTCCACAATCCGCCCTCCCTTACAAAGACCATAAAACAATGATTTATACTGATGGAGTGTCGGGGGAAGCTCTGTGATCTCCTGCTGCAAGCAGAATACTTTAACTGCTTCATCCATGTATCCCTTTAAACACAATGAGTCTATCAACTGATTATAACAACCAATCCTCATACTAACCCCTGCACCAATCAATCCAACAAAAAAACCAAATGCTTCCAAAGCCATTCCTCGTGCACAAAGTTCTCGAAAAATTGCATCACAAGCTTGCGCATTAGGCAATGCACCCAACTCGACACACCTATCAAACTCCCTCTTTGCCTCATCGAGTTTACCCAACTTACAGAAACAAATAATCATAGGACCCATCATACAAGAATCAGGATCAATGCCTCTGCCGACAACGTTCTCATTATACCACGCCTCAGCCAATTGGTACTCACCACACTGCACGAGTTTCTGCAAAAGCGCACCGTGGCTATTCAGGTCGAGGTCCAATCCTCGCGAAGCGAGGTAATCAACCGCCGAGACCGCATCAAGAGCCGACAGAGAATGAGTTATTATCCGCCGAACCACACTCTGCGCGGACGAGAACTGCCCCCGCCGAATGAGCTGCTCCAACAAAGACAGAGTCAAGGACTTATGATCAGCCGAATTGCCAGCAGTTGCACAAGCAGGAGCTTCCAATTGGAGGGCACATGTCGTAATCACTCTTCTTGAGCTAAAGAATCGATGGTGAGCACTGACGCATCTCTTTAGCATGATGGGTTATTGAAAATATGGATTTGCTGAAGGAAAGCTCTCACCTTTCAGTGCAAAAATGGGAGGGAACATGTAGTAATCGCTCTTCTTGAGCTAAAGAATCGATGGTGAGCACTGACGCATCTCTTTAGCATAATGGGTTATTGAAAATATGGATTTGCTGAAGGAAAGCTCTCACCTTTCAGTGCAAAAATGGGAGGGAACATGTAGTAATCGCTCTTCTTGAGCTAAAGAATCGATGGTGAGCACTGACGCATCTCTTTAGCATAATGGGTTATTGGAAATATGGATTTTCTGAAGGAAAGCTCTCACCTTTCGGTGCAAAAATGGCGAGACAATCGAGAATCGCCGATGAATTTCAAGGCGCCATTGAAAGAACGAACCTTTACTGGGCAGAGTCGCAACCCGAGAGGGAGAAGAGAGAGAAGGAAGCGGAGAGGGATGATCCCTTAAACAGTCAACAATTCGTTAGGGTTTTAGCAATTCAATTGGGGTCAAAAGGGGGCATGATTTTCTACTCTCTAGTTAACTAAAAATTAAATTTTTAGGTCATATTTAGTGGCCATGACAAAATTTAGGGAAAATTTCAAATAAGAATCCGAAGTACTATCATTTTCTTAAATAATGATCTAAAGTGAATTTTGTGTCAAATAAAGGCCTGAAATGCTCTCTTTTTTTCTCAAATAAGGGCCTCTGGCCAAATTTTCCGACCGATCAAAGGTATTTCCGTCAAAAAATAATTTTAATATTAAATTAAATTAAATTTAAAAAAAAAAAGAGAAAAAAAACGGGGGAGGGTTGGTAGCCCTCCTTGCTTGTGGCTGTCGGCGGCTCTCACTGAAGCGCCGACGACCCCGCCGGCCATGGCCGCCGTCCACTAGCGATGGGGTGGCGACCCCAGTGGGCTGGTGGCCACAGGCAGGGGAGGGCTAGCCCTCCCCCTGTTTTTTATTTTAATTTTTTTTTGAGTTTATTTTTCATGGAAAAAAAAACAAAAAGAAAGAAAAAAAAGAAAAAAATTAAAAGACGAAAATGCCATCGACTTCGGTAAGGTTAAACCCTTTTTTGAAACTGAGATAGTTACTTCGTACCTTTATTTGAGATAAGGTTTATTTCAGTTCTTTATTTAACACAAGTCTCAATTCAGGTCCTTACTTGATAAAATGAAATTACTTCGGTCCTCATTTGAAAATTTTTCCTCTCTTTATAAAGCCATGCTCTCACTTCCACAGCCGCAGGAAACTCCAGTCTCTTCCTCTCTCTCGACAAATTGTGTCGAAGCTCCATTTTTTCTTGCGAACGTCGCGTCCTGTCGAATTCGTTTTCCGTCTTCTCATGTTTAACTTCTGCATATTATGCTCTGTATCGAATTCTTGACCCTGCGAGATTGGTATTTTCTTGGTCCCGTTTTGCTTGCTCAACCCAAGAAAGCAAGAACTTTCTCTCGAGCTTCTTCGTGGGTTTTCGACGATTTCCCTCGGCAGGCTTGCAAGTTTCGCGGTTTCTGTTTGATGAATCCACGAACATGATGAGTAATGTTGCGAGTGATGATAAAATCTTATCAGGTGATGAGAAAATATTACTTCGCTACGTTCTTTCTGATTCATGGTCCATCTGTGTTCGTGAGGTTGCTCTTCCGATTCTCACCTGCTTTCATCTACTCGTTTCCATTTCACCGTGCTTGCATTTGTTATTCATGTAAGTGCAGGCAACTCGTCTAAGTTTTGAGTTAGTCTTTGTCATGCCGTGATATATTCGGAAATTTCGTAATAATTGTTGCCAAAACATAGTTCGACAGCGATGACCATTTTGGAACTGATTTGATGACTCTGATTCTACTTCAACACTGGTTTTCTGCACGAAGACCCTCCTTTCACCGCTCTCGTATGGCTTTCTTGAGCCTTTCGCGTATCTTCGTCGTCAAACCCTCAATTGGTGATTCCTTCTCCTTCCGTCCCTACTCAACCCCGGCGAAGCTAGAATCCTGCTCTCCTAGTCCTGCCTTGAATGTCCGTCACCGTTCCATTGATGCATAAACTTTTTCTACCTAATTAGTACCAAAAGAAGAGACTGAAAAACGTCCGAATGGCAATTTATAACAGCAATACAGGGATGAACACCTCTTGATTAGATAGACGAGTGCTTCAATGTCTTTCTTCTCAGCTGCTTCCATGAGCGAAACGTGTTGGTTGTAGCAGGCATTCTGAGAATCAATCAAAAGCAGAAAACCATAAGTAACTAGAACTAAAAGCGTACTGCTTCTTGATGCTCTTTCTTCCATTAGAGAATTTGTATGTGTCGCCCGGTATCCGTTCTATGTACATCGGTTCCTTCTCCAAACAACTCGAAAAAATTTCGACCAATTCAAATTCTTTCTTGACGAAAGCGAATTCGGCGTTGATGTTATCTAGTATTATTTAGAGCTATAATACATAAATAAAATCATTAGCTAGCAAGAAAGAAAAAAAAATGATTAATTAGGCCACGGATTTGAACATGTAATTCTCTGATCGTCTTTACTAGAACTTGCTTTCTTATGGTTTGCTTTGAGCCCAAAGAATCCCACGTCATCCCCTCGCAAGCAGCACTTTGTCATGGCCTCCTGTCTTGCCAATTCGAGCTCTTTGATCTCATTCCCTGATCTTCCTGTCCTAATCTGAATCGAGTCTCCACCATTGCTTCGCATAATGCAGCCTCCAAATCTGTAATTTCGCAAATGCAAAGTATTTGGTTTGTAATACACATCGCGTGTCGAACGGTACCTTTTGACCCGATTAGCTGTAATTGGAGCCCTTGCTCACACAATCATTTTAAAGTGCTGTAGGGAAAACTTTTCACCGTATCTTGCTCTCACTAACCAGGTTATCATCTATCTCATCCACTGAGGAGCCCGGTTTAATGGCTTTACAGAGGCTCGGTTTAATCATGAAGCATAGCTTGTCCATATATAATTTCGGCAACTTCAAGTCCTTCCTTCCCCATCGTTGGACCTGGTATATCAGATTGCGCAACGAGTAGTATAATCGGTCTAAACATATACATCAGAGCATGATGAATAGTTCAGAGATCCATTTTGGCATTCTCCCTAGAACATGACCTTGTTTTATGAGCTTGTCTCGACTCAACCCAATTAGGTCCGCTCAAACTCTATGCCATCCATTTACCTTTCAAAGATCATCGAACTGACGAATGAACTTAAAGACACGAATCCCTAGGCCCAAATCCCACCCGACCCCGCATTAACCTTCCCCCCCAAAGCACAGCACAATCCTTTTTCTTCTTTCCCAATGACCAAAAATACCATCACAATCACCAATTCTCTTCATTGTTTTAATCCCCAACGTGGGGGAAGCATCCATTTGAACCAGCACAGCAAGGCAAAAACACCCCACCAAAAAGATCTCTGTTTTTCTCTGGTTTGGCGAACAAACAAAGCCCACAAACTCTCACCTGTAATCGCAACGCTTGATGGAGCGAAGCTATATTAAAGGCCCTCCAAGATCCCCCCCATCTCCTTCGTCGTCGTCCCCCATCATCATCATTTAAAATAGCCAACTGCCAAAAGAGGACCGATCCAGGCGGTCGTTCCTGTGCCTCCTCCTCTTGTTTTCTCCGCCCACCCCCTTCTCCTCCGTCCTCCTCGTCGTCCTTCCTCCTCCGTCCTCCCTCTTCGTCCTGTATTAAAAACCGACCCTCCTCCCCATTTCTTGCGAAATCGATCGAGAAGACCCTTCTTCGCACGTCCACCGCATTTCCCTTCTTCCCTCCCTCCCTCCCTCGCTCCTCCTCCTCCTCGCCACCATGTCCGCCGCTTCTCTCTCTTCTTCCATCAGCGTGATCCGCGCCGCCTCCTTCGCCAACGACAAGCCCGCCCTCGTCTCCAGCGCCAGGCCCCCCTCCTCCGCTTTCCTCGGATCCTCCGCCGGGCTCCGCTTCGACCCCCTCTCGAGCTCCGCCGCCGGCGCCGGCCTCCGGCCCTCCCCCGTCGTCGCCGCCGCCGCCGCCAATGTCGTCAAGGAGAAGCAGCCCAGATCCTCTCCCTCCGGCTCCAACCTGGTAAGATTCGATCTGGGGTCATTGCCGCTGTTGGGTAGCTCGAGTCCAGAGTGCATGCATTTCGCGAGAGAGACTTTATTTTTTTTATGGTTAATGGAAGGTTAGGATTCGTGGGTATGTTGTTGATTTGCTTCTTGTTTGGCGTTCGCAGCTGATCACGAAGGAAGAGGGGTTGGAGTTATACGAGGACATGGTCTTGGGGAGGGCGTTTGAGGACATGTGCGCGCAGATGTACTACAGGGGCAAGATGTTCGGCTTCGTCCATCTCTACAACGGGCAGGAAGCCGTCTCCACGGGCTTCATCAAGCTCCTGAAGCAGGAGGATTCCGTGGTCAGCACCTACAGGGACCACGTCCACGCGCTCAGCAAGGGCGTGCCGGCTCGCCAGGTGATGAGCGAGCTGTTCGGCAAGGAGACGGGCTGCTGCAGAGGCCAAGGGGGCTCCATGCACATGTTCTCGAAGGAGCATAATTTGATCGGTGGATTTGCCTTCATCGGGGAGGGGATCCCGATCGCCACGGGCGCGGCGTTCACGTCCAAGTACAAGAGGGAGGTCTTGAAGGAGGAGGGCTGTGATCATGTGACCGTGGCGTTTTTCGGGGATGGGACTTGTAACAATGGACAGTTCTTTGAGTGCCTTAACATGGCTCAGCTGTGGAAGTTGCCTATCATTTTTGTTGTGGAGAATAATCTGTGGGCAATTGGTATGTCCCATTTGAGAGCTACTTCTGATCCTCAGATTTGGAAGAAAGGTCCTGCATTTGGGATGCCCGGAGTGCACGTGGATGGGATGGATGTGTTGAAGGTTAGGGAGGTGGCAAAGGAGGCCGTTGAAAGAGCTAGGAGAGGAGAGGGACCTACTCTGGTCGAGTGTGAAACTTACAGGTTTAGAGGACACTCTTTGGCTGATCCCGATGAGCTTCGTGAGCCTGGTGAGCATTTTAAGACAAACTTGGACTGTCATTCTTGATTGGTTTTGCTCAGTCTTTCTTTTAATCACTGGCTTTGTTTGGAGATTTAATCTCATATTTAGGTGCACGTGTCTTAGATATTCCTATTAAATTTTAGGCATTTTAATGTTAGGCATTCATTATAGTTACTGTTCTTTACCGCCGAGACGAGTGCTTTTGGAGTTAGCCAGATTATGCATGTGGGGACTTTGGTACAGATTCGCTTGATTCTTTGAGACATATGGAGCATTGATTGTAATCATAGATATTCTCTTAGCCTCAGGAGCTGAATTATTGATTATCTGAACTAGCATGTTGAAACAATGAATTGGAAGAAAGAGTTATACTTTAACCCCACATATAACTTTGTAAAGTGGCAGTAATCCCCACAGTGACTTTGGATGCATTGTTTTGAGTTGGTGGAGTTGGTTCTTGAGTTCAAGCATATGGTGTGGGTTCTTGTCCTGTAGAGAGTCTGGAAAATCGAACAGACTATTGCAATAACCATTTAAGGATCCTGAAGATTAAATGAGGTACTTCTCTAGAAAGAATCGAAATCAGGTTGACTGTGCTCTGTTACTTGGCCTCATGGTGTCATTAAATAAGCTAATAAGATAGTTTGACAGTTGGCAAAGCCTTTCCAGAGAGTGGGAATACAGGGAAATTATCTACAGCCTGACATTTATCAGAATCTTGGAGGGTTGAGATCTAAGATGAGATATAGATAATGCTCAGTTCAGCAGATCTGGAAATTCATGTTACACTATGGAGATTAAGGGAAGGAGAAGTTTTTATGTATGTCTCTTTATTATTCAAGTGGAAAACCATTCACTCTTCCTAAGGAAGTATAAATATTAGGCATGCATGTGTTAGTAGGTCTAGGACTTTGGAGCTAAACAAGACTACACGAAGGATGAAAAATGAAAAGGTATATGGGTCTATAAAAGCCTGTAGGTTACTGGAATTGATTGGAAGTTCAGATAGAACAACATATGCATGCATTGATGGGATTGTGACGGTATTCTGGTTGCTACCTCGACGTTGCTTAACAGATTATGTTTTAAGAGTTGCACATGTTACTGATCCGTTTCTTCTTTATCAAAGTTTGCAGCTTTTCTCATAAGATGCATATTTAATAAGCATGATTGAGCAGGAAGTACTAATCATGTTAATTAATGAAGCAGTCCATTAGGCATACCACCCATCATGGGGATTATGGTTTAGCAACAATATTGATAGGGATAATGATTTAGGACTAGACACATCAATTGCCTACAGTTTTTACTACTACCATCTCTTCCTCACTTCCTGGTGTGCTACAAATGTTTGAGGCCTTTGAATCGTGTTTTCTAGTCGACCTCCAAAGCACCACCTTTGCTGGAGAGTGAAGCTTGTTGGTTTTGATAAGTAGGAAAGCTTTGTAGAGCAGTGTTCGAGGTTGAGTATAATAAATAAGAGCTGATGATAATATAACCTTTATGGCTGTTATGCTAATATCTTAATGCATTTACTGCTGCAAAAGGTGTGATTTTTTTGACTGCTGCAGTGGCTTCTGATGCCTGGTCCTTATTGTCTTTAGTGTCACAACTGACATTTTTTTTGTCTGAATAAGCAAAGATTAATGCTGTTATTGATTTTTAGCATAATATTCATATCTAAAGTTGCAGGAAGAGGGTTTCAATACTCTCTTTTAAGCAACTTTTGATTCTGTTTTGCCGTCATATATGTGGCATCTGCAAAATGGTTTGGTCTCCTGCCAGTAGAATTGACGCTTGTGGGCTACCTAAGAAAAGGATGTGGTTGGCTTTCTAGAGAGGAGGCTACTAGACGCACGCTGGCATGCACATGCAAGCATATGCATATGTACCAGAATAGAGCTCTTCCCATGGTCTGGTGACATTTTGAAAGATGTTTGAGAAAGCTGTAGTTTTCATTCCAGCCATAAATAGACACTTTTGCACACGAAGTGGAGAGTGGAATAGTTTGTTAGCTATGCTAGGCTAGGTGGTTAGGCATTGAGCCCAGCACGAGAAGGTCCAGTTAAAAAGGTTGGAAGTAGGTAGCAGTGACTTTTCCCCGCTAGAACATCAGATCTGTGCTCTTTCGCTAGCAAATTTTGGACAGTATGGGACACTTATATTGGATTGTGTCTCTCTAGGAACATCAACCAGGTTTTGAGCGCTCATGTCATGGCATGTTACTGATTTGAACTCTTATGTTGGCGATATGTTTATTTAGAAGCTCCTCACATAATGATTGAATGATGTGCACAACTTTGGATTCTTTACTGACTGCTGTTGAAACATTGAAACGATCTGTGTTTTGTCAGCTGAGAAGGCCAAGTATGCTGCAAGGGATCCCATAACAGCCTTGAAGAAGTACATGATTGAAAGCAACCTGGTTAGTGAAGCCGAGCTCAAGGCAATTGACAAGAAAATCGATGAGGTTGTTGAAGATGCTGTGGAATTTGCGGACGCAAGCCCTCCCCCACCCAGAAGCCAGCTACTGGAGAATGTGTTTGCAGATCCTAAGGGATTCGGTATTGGCCCCGATGGAAGGTATAGATGTGAGGACCCCAAATTTACTGAAGGAACCGCCAAGGTGTAGAAGCCTCATTGGGGTACGGCAGGATATTTTTTCTACTATTACTGCTTCCTGTATTACTGCAATCTTTTGAATATTTTTAACTATTGCCAGAGATGTAAGAATAATTAAGTTATTGCAGTTGAAATCTTCTGCTTCTGTTTCTTCTTGTTCAGTAATTTTCTTGCTGCTATTTGTAAGAGATTTTTGATTTGCAAAGAAATGCTTATTCTTATGTAGAAGTTTTCTTTGTAGTGCCATTTGTAGCTCTCTTTCAGGTTTTGTTTCTTCTGATCTCCGATTAGCTTTCTTTAGGTTGATTTTTTTTTTCTAGCCAACTTTTTAATACAGCAAGAACTATCATAGTAACTCAGAATATACAAGATGGACATAGTTAAACTGGCGATACATACAAGGTGAAAGAGGGCTAAGACTCGAGATCTAAAGATTGGATCTGAAGATTCAAGGTAGCATGACTCCTAGGCAGGTCAAATGAAGACATTTTTTGTCCATTGTCACCACGGGGGGCTTCCAGTTTTTCCTTATGATAGGTCTAGAACGGGGAAAACACTTGCCTAGACTCTGTCAAGTCCATGATGAAGCGAGTCAATTCAAACTGTCATAATGGTTGTGATTGCACCCGGTCCTTGGGATCGGGTCCAAGCAAGAATCTCTCCTCAAGCATGCAGCTGCGCCTTTATGTTTTTTTTTTCTTTTCTAAAAATAGAAGCAAAGCATGATTGTCTGGTCATTTCCAGATAGCTTTATAAAGATCGGTTCTTCTATTGAGTTTGGGCAGAGTTTAACAAAATTAGTGCTGAAGTCTAAGGCATCCTCACCATCCAAAAGGAAAAGAGGAGAAAACAGTGAGTTTATCGACCGGTTTTGTCACTCGACAGGGAGGAAACTATCTGTTAATAAATAATCTTGAAAATTTCCAAGATTCTGTGAGCAAAAAATTGGAGAAATATTCCCAAATTGCTACGTTTGTAAGCTTTTGGTTGTTTGATCAAGCGTCTCTGTTCTTTTAACTTTCAAGATGCCTGAAGAGCACACTCACTAGCAAGTGCAGTTGTTGCGGCACCAAGAACGTATTCATCACTTTTGAGTGGTGGGAAATCTGCTCCTTCTCTCTCTTTCACGCACTATTCTGCAGAATGGCGTTGTATCACCAAGTGGACAAAAATGGTCACTGTTGCTGGTAATGCGGTGTCCACTGGTCATTTCAGTCCAACAACCTTCAAATCAGTCTTTTTGTTTAGCATTAGAAGGTGATTCACTAGTGTCGTATCAAACGCCATCTTGCTGTGATATCCAATTCTTATGAGCACTTATTGACCAAAAGAAAAAAGCAACCTCCTTGCTTCTTCTTTTTTGTTTCTAATACAAACTGCAGAATCTGAAGTATTTCACACAATAATAAGACACGAGCAGCATCCAAGTTATGTGGATGAGGCTTTGTTAGCTTAGGGGTTTGGCAACAAGTGTTCGAGGTGCTTTCCTAAGGAATTCCCCTGAAACTGCAAATCTGATGCAAATTATTGCTAGGCCATTTCTTGCGTTTTGCCTAGGCTTTGACGACTCCGAATAGAAGTTGCTTAGATCGGTTGCAACGATGACGCCATCTTTCAAAGGAGATAATAACATAAGCCATGTCCCGAGGGAATTCAGCGACTGCAACTGCAGTAACTTTGAGCATAGAAAGCTGGAACATTCGTTATGTCGAACATGGTTGCATAAGTGTATCAGTTTCTGATACGGAACTGAGATCCAGATACTGATATGCTTATGAACACCGTATACCATGTTCCAACAGAGTGTTTCTTGAGATCTAATTGCAAGTGGAACAAGGACTGAAGCATTTGGAAACAGAAAGAGAGAGGAAAGGCGATCTAATTATGCACTTGCCAGCTTAAGGTAACTGTAGAGTAATCACATTTTTGTTATTTCGAGGTATATTACAGCAATACGATCTCTTTTGCCTGATTTGAACCCATCTAATGGATCAAAAAAGAGTCGGAAAAAAATACGATAGATCCCTCTATCTCTCAAAAGGAAGCACACCAGTTGGGCGGTTTCCTCCCTCAACTAAACTGCACAAATACCAGCAGCCTCGAGTCGAGTACTAGGAGCTAAGCGCTGCTTCAATCACAATTTCCTTCCGACATTTCCAAACCTTCTAGCTACTCCGAATATAACGGCCTTGGTCAAAAGGCCCCGGTCGAGACTGCAAGCGAGAGCGATAGCCCCTCCCACTAACAGGAGCTTCGGCACCAAGGGTTTCCTAGACTCATCGCGGGCTTCAATCTCCGACGAATCTTCTTTACCAGCACTCTCTAGAGACTTAAGATAGTCCGGGCGGACTTTAGTATTGATCTGTGCCAAGAAAGCACAACGTGAACGTGGAGCCTCCGAGGCTCGTTCCTTCTGATACTTGCGCAGACCAGGCTCGATCTTCTTTACGGCTCCCCACATGCCTTGGCGTACTCCAAGCTTCGCTATTTCCCAAGGTATGCCCATATCCTCGTGATGGAACAGCAACACTTCACAGGCAGTTAGCTGGCCATCACCTCTTCTAGATTCAACTGTGAACATGCCCAACAACAGACAACTTCCATCAATTGCATGCTCAAAACAATGCCCAGATGCATTGTGGAAGAATTTAAATAAGCACACGGTAGAAGCCAAGCAAGACAATTGAGCAGTATGTTCAGGAAATAGTCCAACGGTACCTGCACGAATGCACCAACTTGAATAGTATAGGTCTACGCGTCTTGGTTTATTTCGCCTAGGAATAGAGGAGCAAGGCACTCCCTGAAAAATGCAGAAAGAAGTTTATTGTTAACAATGAAATCTAGAAGTTAACGAGTATTCATAACCGAGATAAAACAAAGGGGTCGATTCAATTTATTTTATAGGAACAAAAAGGCAAAACCAGTGCCGACAATTTCACAAAAATGGTTGATCTAGTGTAGACAATTTCCGTAGAAAAACATTAAGCCAGCTTTGTCAGCATTTTAACTAGAGCTCACATTCACAAAGAAAACAAAGCAAATATGATCAAAAAGTTAAGTTAACGACAGTGGTGACTACGTTACTTATAGCTTACGAGAAACAAATATGATGAAATGGTTCGGGCAAACGATGGTGCTCATACCTTTGTAACACAATAGTATGATCGTCCTGATTCCCAAATCCGTCGGCCTATAATGTATTCTCTGTCACTACAGAAGAATGGAAACTGCGCCAAAACACAAATCAGAAAGGAACGAATTAGCAGATGCTACCAAAATCTGCACAGCCTAAGACGCGAGCCGAAACAGGGGAAAATGAAAGCAAAAGTAATCTCTTTCAGTCCTCACCTTACGGACCCATTGCACCATCATGGTTCCAGTAGTGGGGCACTCCTCCAAAATCGAAGAGTGAACAAGCATATCGTCCCACTTCGACCGGAACTCATCATCCCAGAAGAAGTCCCTGACCATTTCAGGTGTCGCGTCCTCGAAAACAGTCCTACTCCGGTATTGCGGAGGCCCAGTCTATAACAGAAACCATCGAAACACAAACGCTCTCAATCATCTAATTCAAATGCTAATTCAGCCACATCTTTTAGCTATATCCGGTCATACTCAACAAAGTGCAATTAAGAGCTTCTAATTTTCTGAATAGATCAGATGTCCGATTTCCTCCAAATAGATCAAATTACTCAGTAGTTCAAGAAAAGCGGGGATATACCTCAGGATCTCTTCGCCAAGCTTGATAGCTCATGGTGGGCACCGACCTGTCCATCATCTGAATCCAAGCAGGCCCTCCATCTTTGACCTCCACGAGTCGGCACAAATGCTCCAAATCATCACCCTTCACAAGGCTCGATTTATCTCTCTCACCCCGTGACGAACTGCCAAATGCAAAGATTGCAACGCAAATCCCATTAGAATCTTGAAATAAACAAGCACCATTCATCAAATTTCCGGCACCTAAGTTATTGCCCGATTAACGCAAGAAAATCCCAACACAAACCTGGAGTCAGAAATGGCGGTTGGAGGGTCAGAGAAAGTCGGCGCTTCGGATATGTCCTCCACAGATCGAGAGACCCAGCTCGGTAACTGTAATCTTAACGAATTCAAGCTCAAAACCGAACTCACGCCCGTGGAAGCTGAAGCTGACAAATTTGGAAAGGTCTGGTTTAAGCTATTATTATTATTATTATTCTCTGTTCAAGAACTCGCTACTCGGATTCGCCCATCTGGGTCTCCATGACCATCCAACTAGAACTCCAAGAATCACCGAAATCCCCACACAAGCCACCAACATCAAGGCCTCACCCAAGGACCCCCCGCTCGCAGCTCCTCTCAGAATATCCAGAACAACAGCCATGACGGACCCCCCAAGAAACGGAAAAAGAAAAGAGCCCAAGAAGAAGGAAAGGACCCCGATGAACAGAAACAGGACCGTTCGGCTTGGGCAAGCAGAAAAAGGGGGAAAAAAAAAGAGATTTTGCGAGCAACCCACGATAGAACTAAGCGAAGAACGCCCCCAGAAGACACTCAAACTTGGTGTTGCAGAGCAGTACAAGAGCGGGAGGAGGTGGGGGAAGAAGTTAAATTCTTCAGGAGCCGAAAAGGATAAGGATCCTGAGGTCCAGTTGCTTCCCAGGCTTTTTTCTTTTTTTCTCGTCACAAGTTCTTCTTGTGAAGTTGGCTTGCTTCGCCCCACGCCAGTTCCAACATTTGACAAGCTGTGTATATATATATATCTCTTTATCGCCAACCAAAATAAAAAAAGAAAAAGAAATCCTGGATTGACAGCAGAACCTCGGAAAAGCGTGTAATGTACAAAGCGGGCTTTTCGCGAGGGAGGGAAGTTTCTGCTCAAGACGACGCGACTCGGCGTGCGCATGTGCGTCGTGGGAACGCGGGAAGTCGCCTACCCTGGGGTCCATCCTCCATCGATGAGGTCGAGGTTCAGTCGTACTTCAAGATTCAAACACCAAAGCCACAGGCCAAAAAGCAAAAGATCTGTTGGTGGTGGTGGTGGTGGTGGTGGTGGGCGTGTGACGATGACGATGACGATGTTGCGCCACTCAGTCATATGATTAAAGAATTGACATGAAGCTAGCCGCGGTCTCTCGTTTATCACGTTCGTTTGACTTAGTGGGAATTCC